ACTATCATATCCTTTAATTCCAAAATCTAATTTTGGTTTAAGCCAAGTTTCTTGAATGCAGATAATGTCTGGTTTCTTTCGAAGACCATTAAGAAATCCTTTAAATTCCTGTCCGTTTGCTATCAAACTCCTTGCTTTCCATTGAAGGATAAACATTCAAACTAAGTCTTGTCCCCTAGGACCCCTGATTTCCCGATTTCTTCCAGTCTTTTATTGATTTGTTCCCAGGTTACATCTTTCATGTTAAGAAATGTTTCGGCTGCTTTCACAATTATCTTAATTTTCTCAGTCTTTTGTCTAACCTAATCTGCACAGTTTATCACATATGCAACAAACAAAACCAATTTGTCTACATCTATATCTTTAAACCTTAAAGCTTGTCCACTCTGACCTTCATCTGATCTTGAATTTTTATTGTTTATTTCTGTTTCTGCCTTCCCCTTTTGTCCTTGTACTGTCTTTACCGCTTCAGCATAGCTAATATTGTTGACTATTTTAACCTGTTGAATTTCTACTGCTCTCTTCCTGGCTTCACATCCCCCATAAGTCACATTGTGCTGACCCCCACAGTTACAACACTTAGCCTGAACATTTTCTCCACATTCCTCAAATCTGTGCTCTCCACCACACTTAGCACACCTTTGTTTCCCTTTGAACGCCACAGCAATATGCCCATATCTCTGGCATTTATAACAACGCAGAGGAGGAGGAACATAAGGCCTGGCTGGGAAACTCATGCATCCAATTTTAATTTTTTCGGGAAGTATCAAATCCTGGAACTCTAGAAGAACCGACAAACTCTCAGTTCTTTCACCATTCACTGTTCTCTTTAGTCTTCTCACCTCGCCTCCATGAATACTTCTTTTAATTTTTTCTAAATCCTCACCTATGGGAATGCCACTCCTCGAGACACTTTGTCCTCACCCAGAACTCTCCTTTCCATCACAACCTTTTTGCAAATACTTTCAATATGCAAAGCTTTATTTCTCTGTTCCTCAGATCTTCTTCCGGCTCTCAGCGAGTGCAGACGTGTTTCTTTCTGCTCTCTCTTCTCCCTCCCCTGCCCTTGGTGCCTTGCTTGCTATCTTTGTCCTGTCGTATCTCAGAGCCTCTCTCTGCATTTTTACTTCCTAAAGCCTAACATCAACCATGGATTTGGTCGGATGGTCTCTCAACGCAATTGACAAAATCTTCTCTACCCAAAGACAAGCTGCGGGGGCTGCAACTTGTCCAGCCGGGACTCACCCTGCGGGTTACACGATGGATGCCTGGAGGAGCTGGAGGGTTTTATGCCTCTCAGTTCTCTCCGTGGAAGACGTCAAGGACCTATACCTATTTGGATTCATGATAACCGGGTTCCTGCTGATTGGAGTTGGTGGATACCTAGTTTTTCGAGAAATTCGGAAGCTGAGGGCTACTGGTGGCGGGTTGCCTGTCGAGCCGGTTTACCGGGCCATCAACGCTCAGACTCAAACCTTGTGCGAGTTGTCTCGCAAACATGATGCTCTGGTAAGCAAAATGGGGACGATGTGTGACAGCATGAGGGTGATGGGGAACAACTTGGAGAAGGTGGTGGTTCGGATGGAAGGAAATTAACACAATTCGGCTGAATTGGATCGCCATTGAGAGACCTGCTGAGGACTTAAGGCAGACAAAACACGCTCTGTCTGGAACAAAGCTATCTCTCTTATCTCAATCTGGCCTCCCGAGAGCGGCCTTGCAGCTGCTACTCTGCAACTTTGCCCTGGATGAAACTGCAGACGGACGCTTTGCCCCCCCCACACCCCCTCCCTCTTCCCATGCAGGAGTATGGGCATCACAAGGAAAAATTCCATCCTGCCTGTGGATGTGGACTTCAGCTTGCTTACACTTACACACACACAAGTACAGACTTCATGCATTCCTGGGACTCACTGCCTCGCTGTTACCTTTCCCCTTCCTTCCAACCCCCCCATCCCTCCCTCCCTATGTGTCCTTGATTTGACTGTATCTGTGCTTAAGTGTACTGAGGTGTTTTTTTAAATCACTGTTACGTCCCCTGTAGGGGGCGTGGCACTGGGCCTTTTTTTCCTCTTCCTGCAACCGCTTTCCCAATGTATTCTGTATTCTTTTGGTTCTGAAGATTTGATTCTGGCGCTGTGTAGACGGCTGCCTCTCCAGTATCTTCTGGTAACCTTAATTTCCTGAGGGAGTCTTCCCAAGGGATCAATAAAGTTCAGTCTAAGTCTAAGTCTAAGTATTGCATTTTACCAATAATTTAGCCATGTCCACTTCTCCTATCTTCTTTTTTAGCTCCCTAGTTAGCACAATTGGGCTTAAATTGATCTGCTCATCTTCTTTCCTGAATTTAAGTATTATTTTAAATTCTTCCCTTTCTACCTTCCTTCGAATCATCCGGTTATCCTCCTCTGAACTACTTCCCTCCAAACCTCTTATTCTTCTGGCTAACAAGTGCTCTTGCCTCCATACCTTGCCTCATATTAGTTTTATCCCTTCTCCCTTTACCTCTATCATCCGGGGTCCAATCATCAAATTCCATTTCATTTTCTCCATCTCCTACCTGTGTGTCCATCTCGATCCAGTCACAAACCAGTTTATGTCAAACCGCTCTTTAACCAAATGTTTTCGCTTGCCACCTAACAGAAACCTGGGCCGAGTGTGGTTCAATATGGACTATCAACTTATATAAGTATTTGTATCTTCCTACTCCTACCCTTAATATATAATTTAACTAAATGAATTTCCTATTTATGTATAGCTACCCCCCTAAATCATGCACCCATTCACACACACTCCTATGTTAATCATATTCTTTGAAATAATTTAGTTTTCTTTAAATATCCCATAAATATCTGTACATGCTTACTCCCCGAATTCTTCCTCAAAATATCTATCAAATTAATCTTTTCCTTAATACAGTCATGGCCAAAAGTTTTGAGAATTTATTTATTTATTTATTTGAATAGGGACAGAGCACATTAATGGACATCAGTGAAAAAAAATGTAAATATGCCGGATTGTAGCTACAAAGCTAATTTTCATCCGTAGTCCCTAGTTAAAAAATAACATATAATAAACAATACAAGCATCACAATTAAAAGTTTAGATTTTAGTGGTCACATGACTGGCTTGCTTTCATCCAGAGTTTAAGTTGATCTCTAAAGCTGGTCAGTGTGGGGCTCTCCCGTATGTGCAGAATGATTCAAATGTTAATATTTACAAAGTCTAATGCTTCAGTTTTTATAACGGCAATTTGCATATACTCCAGAATGTTAAAAAGAGTATTCAGCACAACAGCAATTAATTGCAAAGTCAATATTTGCCTAGAAAATTTACTTTATCCCCCAAAACACAATTCAACATCATTGTTGCCAAAATGGCTCCAGGGCGCCCAAGAAAGACCAGCAAGCGCCAGGACCGTCTCTTAAAAGTGTTTCATCTATGGGATCGGGCTACCAGCAGTACAGAGCTAGCTCAGGAACGGCAGCAGACAGGTGTGAGTGCATCTGCACGCACTGTGAGGCCGAGACTCTTGGAGCAAGGCCTGGTCTCAAGGAGGGCAGCAAAGAAGCCACTTCTCTCCAGGAAAAACATCAGGGACAGACTGATATTCTCCAAAAGGTACAGGGAGTGGACTGCTGAGGACTGGGGTAAAGTCATTTTCTCTGATGAATCCCCTTTCCAATTGTTTGGGACATCTGGAAAACGGCTTGTTCGAAGAAGACGATGTGAGCGCTACCACCAGTCTTGTCTCATACCAACTGTAAAGCATCCTGAAACCATTCATATGTGGGGTTGCTTCTCAGCCAAGGGAGCCGGCTCTCTCACAGTTTTACCTAAAAACACAGCCATGAATAAAGAATGGTACCAGAATGTCCTCCGAGAGCAACTTCTCCCAACCGTCCAAGAGCAGTTTGGTGATGAACAATGCCTTTTCCAGCATGATGGAGCACCTTGCCATAAAGCAAAGGTGATATCTAACTGGCTTAAGGAACAAAACATAGAGATTTTGGGTCCATGGCCTGAAAACTCCCCTGATCTTAATCTCATTGAAAACTAATGGTCAATCATCAAGAGACGGGTGGAAAAACGAAAACCTAGGAATTCTGACAAAATTCAAGCATCGATTGTATTTCTGTATGTGATGACAACATCTGACATACTGTTGGGTCTAAATACGACTCCTAGTTCCTCACTATCAAGAGTTTAGTTATTATTCAATAGACCCGGGAAGAGGCATCAGAATAAAAAGGCTTGACACAGAGGATAAGTTTTTCTCAACTGCAGAGGAGGGAGAGACTGTGTGGCCAGAGAATGCCACACATCGAATCTCACCCACATTTCTCCAGCCGTTGATTTTTATTAGACTGATAGTTGCTAAGCAGTGTACATATTATGGGATATGAAGGTATTGGACACCCTTATAAGGTATTTCCTGGCAGTCTGGCTGTTGTTGAAGGCCAGACCTTGGAAGACACAGATGGTAGACAGATGGTAGACAAAACACACATCTCATAGCAGCTTATTCATGGATTTTAGCTTCACACTAATGTAAATACGAAAAATAGCTTCTACATATCCCTCCTGTTGTGAGTTTTGGGAACCGTCTGTTAAACTAACATAGGGCACCGTACATCAGAGTAGAAACAGTCTCTAACAGAGAATTTAGCAACTACTCGTCACAATAAACAACACAACAGTGATCGAGGACAGGAGTGGGCGAAAACCCTTCTGTTCTATGTGAAGGGAAAAATTCCCACTCGACCTTTCCGCACGGAAACGATCGCCTCTTGGCCAGTCCACGATCCGGATCAGTCTTTTGGAATACTTTCGGGGTGAGTAGGAAAGGGTAGAGGTGAAAATAGAGGATAGTGGAGGGCAGAGGTTACTAGCACGTGCCCTCACCGGTGGTACGGACCCTCAGCGTCGCGTACATGGGGGAAAGTTTGGAGAAAGGGTGGAAAAAAGGGGAAAGGAGGGAACATTTAAAGGGCCTTTACTGGCTGACGTCCTCTCCGTCGTCGTAGTTGGGTGTCGGGTAAAGGTCGGGAATGTCTTCATCTTGCATTCGCAGTTGTTGATAATGAATCATAACTGCACCTATGACTACCTTCTGTATCCTGGCGTGGACACAGGGGATGACACAGCCACAGGCCTAATCTGTGGGCTGTACCTTTTTAACGTGCGACTGGTGAATCCAAGTGTCACGCTCTGCTACCTTAACAGCTGTGGGGGTGGTTAGTTGGACTTGGAACGGGCCGTCCCACCTAGGGCTATGCCAATGCTTCCTCTTGATCACCTTGAGCAGGACCCAGTCTCCCGGTCTCAGCAAAACCTGTGTGGGAGACAAAGGAACACTAGGCAGATCATTTGCACTTTTGACCTCTTTCTCTGAAAATAGTTTGCATAGCCATTTAGTGATCGGGTCAGTCTCGCCCTCCTGGTCCTGCACCAGGGGGTCCACTACAAGTGGCAGGTGGAAGGGTCTGCCCGTCACTACTTCAAAAGGCGTACAGCCTGTACTGTTTGGCGTGATGTGCATGTATGTTTTAACAAGACTTAGACATTTGGGCCATGGCTTCCCTGTTTCTTCCATGGTCTTTCTAAGTCGGGCTTTGATGGTGCCATTGGTTCTTTCCACTAAGCCTGCGCTCTGTGGGTGATACGCACAGTGACACTTAAGTTCGATGCCTAGGTGTTGCAACATGTTTTTCACTACATTGTTCGTGAAATGACTCCCATTGTCACTCCAGATCAGTCTAGGAATTCCATGTGATGGTATGATGCTCTTGCAAATGGCTTTGGCTACTGTGAGCGCGTCGTTCGTTTTTGAAGGAACTATTTCCACCCACTTTGAGAATGAGTCAATCAGCACTAAACAGTACTTGTATGTCCCGCTTCTGTTTAGTTCAATGAAATCCATATGCATGACTTCAAAAGGATATGTACCCTCAGGATTCTTTCCTCTCTTGGGTCTGACATTTCCCTGTGCATTGTGTCTACAGCATATTATACAGCTCCTACAAATTTTTTTAAAATAGGTAGTTAGTCCATAGGTTATATGAAATGTCTCTCCTACTATAGATACCATCCCTCCTGTTGAGACATGGCTCTGCCCATGACTCAATTTTGCTACAACCAGTAAAACTTTAAAAAAAAAAAACAGAGTTTTCTCTGCCAGAAAACTCTGTTTTCTGGCAAAGTGTCTCGTCCAGCGCAGTATGGTTCAGGTGTTTTAATTTCACTCAAATCCGGGTATAGTGAGGGAGGTGGAGGAGTTACGATTGAGTTTATAAATGGGCTGTTTGATCCATGGGAAGGGGTGCTCGTTTGATATTCTTGTTCTCCTTGTTTTCTTTGCAGTCCGGCGCGAGTACGAGCAGCAATGGGTGTGCGCGCGTTAGCAGGGGGTGGGGGCACTGATGGGATTCCGTTGTCACTCCCATCAGCCGGCTCCTCCTCTCTGCCTCTGGCCGCCGGCGTTTCCGGTCTTTGTCTCACTCTTGCCGCAGAAGTCTCATGCTCCGGACGCACTTTACACTGAGCTGTGAGCGCCACTTCTTGTTTTCTCCCCTGTTTTGTCTGCCGTTGTTCTATGCGTTTCACGCTGGCTATTTTCCACACTCTCATTAATCTCAAATCTTCCTCAACCTCTCTAACTTCGTCTTGTTTTCCTCTGAGCAACATCTCTTTCCTTTTTTCAGTCAATTCTTTTTCCATTCTTAAAATGTCCTCTCGTTCGAGGAGTCGGGCTTTAAAACCGTATTTCTTCACCCAAAGTTCAAGTCTAGAAATCGATCCGGGATGTTGTTGTTGCATAAATCTAACATCCTCAGACTCCATTAACTCTTTTCTCTGAGCTTTTCCCATCTTTATGTCAATCTCTCTTCTCTTCTACCTTGAACCCTTTTTTTTTTTCTTTTTTCTCTTCTTATGTTTGTCACGTCTCCGAGTGGTGGTTGGCAATCAAACAGTGTGATTTAAAACTTTTAGTTAAATTTCATCTCAACACATATTATCCCGGGGCTTAAACTTATTGCTTATACATTGTGGAAACGGATACACACACACACACACAGACACACACACACGCTCCCTCACAGCCGGCGCTCTCCGCTTTTTTTTCCCCCTTTTTTTCCCCCCGTCTTTTTATCTCGTTTTTCTTAGATCTGCCAAAAGCGCACTTCTGATAAACAACAGAAAAATTCAACCTTATACCTCGGCTTTGTTAGTTCAAATTTCTTATCACCACTTCAGAACCAATCTTAGTTATACCACAACATTTAGTGGTTGTTGATCTTCTACCGTTCCAATTATTTATTGAACTTTTGAACCTTAAAAAAAAAGAAAAAGAAAAACCCCATTACTCACGTCTGTGTCAGCCAGAAATTCTACAGGCTATTTTATTCTTCCCGATTCACCATAAGTCTTTATTTATGCTTCTGTACCACGTGAACTCCCACGGCGGGGATAAACGTCTCAGAAACTACTCACGACGCCCCACTACAGGGATTCGCTACCTCAAATCAGGTCTATTCGACCAGATTCTACTTTAACTCAAAT